TTGAATGTACTTAACAAGCCTTAATAAAATATATGGGTATATAATATTATCTATTGTATATCCATACAACTTCCAGATCATTAAACCGACAACTCATTGTCTTCACACATCTTATGTGCTAAAAGATAAATTTTAGTTAATTCAAACCCACAATTCAGAAATATCTAATACTTCATAGTATCAAACATATTCATAATAGACCATTTTTTAGTGCACTCAACAAGTTGAGATCGATTGAGGACTCTGATTTTTAACTATAATGATGGAATGCGAATATAAAGTGTAACTTAATATTTTATTGAGAGATTTTGCATTCAAAGGTCTCATCATAACAATCATATATATATTATTATACATCTACCATGCAAATAAACTTATATATAATATAATAGTGTGGACGATTATGGACTTTTACTATCTAGTCTTCCTAAGCCATAAAAAAGACTAGTTGATCAATTCCTAGATTGTATTGCATTGATTAGTATCATTGCACCATCTCCATGGTCTACTCCTCTTTTTGCTTCTTCAATCGGTCAAACTGCAACATGTATCCTATACTAGTTGGCACGCAAGCCTAAATGAAAAATGGACTTGCAGGCCCATGGTAACAACAACGAACTCGTAAGTCCAAAATGATTAAGAGCTCGCAGACTCATAATAATAACAATAATAACGAACTCGCAGACCCATAAAACGACAAAAATTAAATTAACCGTTCAACACATACACATGGTCAAGTCCATAATCATCCGCTCATAATGCATTTATCACATAAATGTATGCCTATATAATATCTAATATTATATGCAAATACGTTTCAAGTTTCTAGCAATTACGGTCGTCTAAACATCTTAGACAAATGGATTGGAACAATTAAATAATCAATTAATCATATTAATTAATTATTTCCTCAGTGGGTGTATTTAATTAAAATCAAATTTTAATTAAATACCGAATTAGAGTCCAACTCTAATTCCAAAGTTACAGGGCAGGATTATTTAATTAAAATCAAATTTTAATTAAATATCAAATTAGAGTCAAACCCTAATTTCAAAAGTTAAGGCAGTTGAATTTAATCAAAATCAAATTTTAATTAAATAACAAAATTTGAGTCCAACTCTAATTCCAAGATTTTAGGATGAACTAATTTAATTAAAATCTAATTTTAATTAAATATCAAATTAGAGTTTATCTCTAATCTCAAGAAGAAATTTAGGGTGAGACAATTTAATCAAAATTAAATTTTAATTAAATGTCAAATTAGAATTGAATTCTAACTTCGAGAACATATTTGGGTGAATAATTAATTAAAATCAAAATTTTTAATTAAATACTAAATTAGAGTCCAACTCTAATTTAAATTGAATTAATATTTTAATTTAGGATGAAACTTCTAAATAGAAATAAAATTCATTTTAAGGTCAAATTTAATATTTAAGTTAAAAACCAATTTTAACGAAAATACAAATATCGTTGATTTTAAATGAAAGTATTAAACGGGTCAAAATTAATAATATAGGTCAAACCCTTTTAAAATTCAAATTTAAATTCATTTTCAAAATTGCATTCAAAACCCTTTTGAACAATTGCAATCTGACACCAAGTTTAAATTTAAAAGGTTGTCCTTCAATTAACTTAATTGCAAGACAGACCCTTCATTTAAAAATTGCAGAGTGACCCATTTCATAATTGCAGACTATGGTGCACAGTTTTCTAAATTACAGCTCTAGCCCCATCTCAATTCACCCAAAATTATTTTTTTATTTTTTTGCGACGCCGATCATTGCCACTGATACCTCCTTTTATTTCAAGTTGCCACCCCCTTTGGCTCCTGTGGCAAAGGCCACCACCGCTTGTAGCAACAGCAGCTACTACTACAAATTTAGCAGTGACGAGCGACGTTGTCTCAGGTGCAGCAGCACCTCGCCGACGGCAACAATTGCTATTAGCTCCACCGCCTTTCCCTATTTCATTTTTTTTTAAATTCTTATAAAAATATATTTTCAATTCAAAATCAATTGCCAAAACAAGAAAAAACAATTAACTTTTAATTGTTCCAAGATGCAAAACAATTTCTAACAAATACAAAGTAGACTCTGATACAACTGTTGGAAATATACTTATCATTCGCAGCGGAATATAAAGTAGGTTTCAATTCCCACCAAAGATCCCTCTATGTTTAGATAGAAATTGTGATAGAAAATTGTACCTTTTGAAAGATTCTGCAAACTTTTTGCTTTTCTTTTTGCTCCAACAACTTTGATCTGTCATTCACAGTTATCCCATTGTCCAACTTCCAACGGTGATTGACATAGAGAACAAAATTGTAGGATTAGATTTTTTCTTATGCTAGCAAGAAGAATGAAAAAATCTCTACAAATTGAAAACCCTAATCACTTATTTATATAAGCCCAAACGGGTTTTGCCTGACCCATCCAATATTAAATTAACTCATTTAATTAAATTCGGTTCGTGAATTAATTAATTAATTAATTCTGGCATATAAATAAGCAACATAATTAATTAATTTATCCAACCCTCGTTAAATTAATTAATTGACAAATCAAAATCTTCCTGTTCTCCTTTTGTATGCGACACATCAGGTTCCCGATCACGATGTCTAATAATATGAATTATTATTTTGATTTAATTGAAATCGATAAATTAAAACACCCTTTTAATTTATCACCAATTCACTTTCACCGTCCCAGATTGACATCTAGCAATGTATTAGGACAATACATATGATAAAAAATGTCATGTGGTATGACAAAATCAAACTCGTTCGCTTACCGTGAAACTATAATTCCTCCATCAATATGATCCGATCAATTACGAGATATGAAAGTTTCTTAATCCCGATTATCGATCATATCTTTCATTGCACTATTAAGTCAATATAAGTTAAAAACTCATTTTCAACCTCTGAGTACACCTTGGCCAAGGATTTCATTATAGACTTATTGAATAAAATATGGATCATAATCTCTTACTATTTAGTAGTGACGAATCCTCTATTGGTTATTGACAACCTTCATACGATTCTTAACTTATCCGAACGATGTCGTATTAGCGGCCCTTGGCAGAGCAACATTCAACACCACCAAAGTATGACTATCCTCATGTCATATAAGGTACCATGATGACATCAAGTTAAAAGATCAATTTCACTACCGAACGTTAGAGACTAACCATTGATATTCAGATAGTTATTTATATGGAATCTCTTGACGGGTCTCCAATGCTTTGTTCTATAACAAAACATCCATGTGTACATTCAAGTATCACTACACTTTAACTTGTAATATCAGCTACTTAATTCATAAGTAAGAAATGTTACGCGAGATGATCTATCCGTGATAACGATATCCGTATCTCGTCATTACTTACGACCACAGATGATTGAAGATTTAATCATATATAATTTGTATCTCACAATCATAAATTCTTGTGATTAAAAAATTACTAAGAGTTGAATATACGAACTTCATTATTTAATTCAATTGAATATTAATTAATTAAATAATAGATCTACCATATATCGCATTAACTATTTATTAAAAGTGTTTATATCCAAAGTCAATTGGACCTAGGACATAACACTTACATGCTCAAAGTATGTTGATATAAAATTATATTTTATAAGAGATATTGTATCTAACGGTTTGATAAACTTAGAGAAAATTCATTTTCAGTTCAATCATAGCGATATGGGTACAAAAATTTTACCTTTAACTAAATCTAAACCCTACTTATCTATATTAAACATTTATATTGGTAGACTTAGAGCCTGTTTGACAATCATCATTGTAGAAAAAAAGTTTTAAATAATGATTTTTAAGAGAATGTGTAGTTAAAAAGTAGGAAAAATTGTTTAGTATACATGTAGAATATTTTATTATGTGAATGTGTAGTTGAAAATGATCATATAACAAACCATAAAATAAAATAATGTGTCAAACAAGCACTTAGTGCTTTCACTTGCAGGTACATGTGTGATGATACAATAGGATGATTACTCATTTGTGAATAGAATCACTATGTCAAAGTGGAAATGATGTTGGTTTTGTGTGGGACACGTGATTATTCCCTATAAATGTTTCTATTTTTTGTTTTACTTGGTTACTTGAAATGCTTCTACTCTTGAGGATTAATCTTGGCGATACAATAATTGGTAGTTAGGATTTCTCACGTTCCAATATTTTTGGGCTGTGTTTTATCTCTTGGTTTTCCCTATTTCTCACTGTAATTAGGGTTTGGTTGGAGAGGTGAATGACATCTGATTTTAAACTCTGGCTTCTTGTGATCTTGTTTGTAAATTAGAGTGATCATGTGTTGTGTTGATCCTTAAGGTTGAGTCAAAATCTGTGAAGTGAGAGAGAGTTGAAGCTGTGTCCTTCAATCTCCTTATTTGTGATATTCAAGAGAACTTTAGTACATTCTTGAGATAATTTTGGTGATTTTGTGCAGATGAGCATTCGCGTATTGTGGAGGTCGGGGATGTAGGTTTGTTTGAACCCGTGACTAATTTTTAGTGTTCTTTTAAGTTTCTGTATTTTTTATGATCGTTCCATTCCAGTGTTATCTTCGACAAACACTCTTTTGCTCCTTATATTATCCATTTACTCGAGAATAAAGGTTGGGAGTCTATGACTTCATTTGTCCTATACTTCATATTTTTTTTTGGCATATTGTCTTAGTCATTCCTGTATTTTGTTGGCTGACTGAGATGGTTCTGGTGGAGACTCAACTACTAAGATCCTTAATGGAGTAAGGAATTATGAGATTGTATACACATAACTGAAAAAATTAAAATATGCAAAGAAAGAAAGGTCAATTGTTTACAAAATACTATAGGTTCCAATGATATGCAAGTAGTGCATGTTCATCAAGGCATGTCAAATCTCTATGATGGCTATTTTAACATACAATTAATAAATTCAAGCCCAATAAACTGAAACAAGCAAATAAATTGATTTTAAGCTCAAAAAGGGACAATAGATTTCAAGATCGACGCTCTTAAATGAGTCATCATTTTGCAATAGCATTAATTTGAACTTCACATCGAAAAAAGAAGAAATAAGTACAAGGATTTAGCAATTTTTCTTAAAAAGATTGACTTTTTAAAATAGAATCTTAGCACACCCAATTTTGTTTCCCAAGGTCTATCCTTCAATTCCAAGTCTTAACCAATCATATTTTAGAAATGAAGCAAAAAGTAGTAATTTCACGGCGGAATTTTCACACTAGATAAAACCAAAATTATTTCACAATTCACATTTATGAACAAGAATAAGAAAAGGACATCCATCTAATGTTACCAAATGATGGAAAATGTAGAAGACTTATCCAGACAGATTAAAACTGCTGTAGGCGTCCCATGGTTTGGTACAAAACAGGAAGTCTGTGAATGGAGGCTGCAAAACAAAATTCAATTCATCACCTCGAAATCACTACAGTTATATATGCCTATATGTTTTGGAAATAAACTTACTTGGTGGCCGGGATTTGCAGCGCCAGCACCGTGCTGATAATTGAAGATTGTAGATGTGTTCCAATTGTCTTCGTTTCTAGCCCCTAAGATTTGTGCTCCTTTAGAGCTCAACTCAACCTTAGCCAGCATTTCATATGAAGGGTTCATGTTTGAACTTCTGGTACCTGGTTCTTCACCAGTTTCAAATGGACAAGTCTTTAACAGGATCGAACTACGATTATTCACTGTTTTTGGTTCACTTTCACGAAGGCTTCTTTTTTCTGTTGCCCTTGCTCTTGCCCTCTCTCTAGCCTTTCTTCTTGATTCCTTTGCAACAGTCATACGCGCTACTTTACTCTTCTTCCTCTTCTCTTTTGCACAAGAAGGTTTGTCTAGCTCACTTTTTTGGTTGATTGTGGACTTGTTTTCATAAGTAGCTGACTGATCATTGATTCCTGACATGACTTCGCATTCAGAGGTAGAGGATACACTGCAGGATTGTTTATATACACAAGGACCTTGAATCAGCTCTCTAATGGCAGACCTTGAGTTTTTGAGAAGCCAATCCACGGTTTTACTGGCCTTGTCATATCCTAACATGTCTTGCAAGCCGAAAAACTTTCGGGCGACATCAAGGGACAGTCTCATTCTTCGGTCTCTAGGGCCATGAGCAGTGTTGATTTTGCTGTGTCGATCTCTCTTGGAAGTTCTCTTTCTAGGGATCTGCTGCTCAATTTTACTGTTACAGTCTTCTTTCAGTACGTCCGTGGCAGCAGTTGTACTTGAAAAAGCCATGTTAGTTGCATTAATCTCGGCAGGAAGAGCATTTTCATCGGTTGTCATTGAGTTGTGCTCATGGAAAAGGTCATAATATTGGCGACTAACAGCTTCGTATTCATAGTGCATACAAGGAGAATTAGGAAAATCGAAAAACGAAGAGAATGAATGGTAGTCTTTAGAATTGGAGTTTACGTCATTATCGACAAAATAAGGTTGGGAAATCACATGGTCGATGCAAGATATAGAGTTGAAATTGCTATTGCTGTTAGAGGGATACATCTGAAAGAAATGCCTTTGTCCTGAGCTATGCTAAAGAAATTGACTAGGGCTTGAGGAAGACAGGTGCACCAAGAGACTATTCGTACATGCTTATCCTTTTGGCCCTCTGCAACAAATAATTAGGGCTTGAGAGAGACTGATAATTTACCTAATCTTGATATTTCTTTTCTTTTCTTTTCTTTCACAATCCCATGTGTTTGTATATTTTTGTAAGAGAGAGAGAGAATAATTTCACCTTGAATAAGCAAGAAATGGCTCTTTGAGAAAGACAGGCATGGAAGAAGATATAGAGGTTAAAGCAAGATGAATTATTGGCGACACAAAGGGCCTTGCATAATTTCTACTGCCCATCTCTTAACAAATTACTGTTCTACATTTTTTTTTTCCACTTTTTAAACAAAAAATAAAAGTAAAAATTAAAGGGTATTGTATATCTTCTTCCACTAGCTAAAGAAATTTAGATGCATGCTTGGTTGGACTTGGAGTGTTTGGAGCATGAAAGCGAAAGAGTTGAAGGAGCAGCAAAGATAAGTGGGCGCAGCTGGATTTAAGCACTTGTCTCTTAACAACGACATATATTTGTACTGATCAACAATTACCAAACCGATTGATGTTAATCACTAGAATTATGAACAAGTGAGATGCATTAATCTCTAGTTAGTGTTTACAGAGAGAAAAAATGAAAATGGCCAAACCCTTAGAATTTCCACGTGGCATTTACATGTTACACAAAGGACAATTATTTCAGTTTTGAGAGGATAACACAAGAGTAGCTTAGAGGCCTGCGCTCTTGCCTTTTTGACTGGGGTGACTCCAAATGTCACTTTCACTAAAAAGATAAACTGATCTATCCCTCTAAAGTCTCTCTCTCTCTCTCTCTACATGTACATATGTTTCTATGAATATCACCATCTGTATCTCCCTCTACAAGGGTTCTCCCCCCTTAGCTTTTCTTTGGAACCAACCCAAAAAGTCGTGCTCGATGTAACGTAACATGATATTTCAATGCCATCTCAAATTATGTCATTGCATTTGTTAAATTTTTTTCGGCAAAATCCAAAGCTCTCTCTCTCTCTTGTAAATCACTGTAGTTGATGAGTATAGAGTAGTCAAGAAAGAAGGGCTTTGTGGTTGTACTTTGTGAAAACCCTAATCGTAACCAATTTTGTTCAAATAAAGAACTGTTTGTATCTTGAAGAAAATGGTAATATTGAAAAAGGTTCTTTCTTGCAACACATAATTCATTTCTTTCCAAAAATACAAGCCGCAATTGCAGCAAAACCAACTCCCACTTCCACTCCCACCATCTATTGCATCTTTTCCCAACCTTAGCTGTCCTATACACCAGCAAGAGAGGACCACATGAATTGGTTGTTCTGAAGTTGCTTTCAAATATCAGATATCTATGAACAAAAGGAGAATGATATAATTTATGTACCATAAGTGCTTTCATTTCTATTTAGAATTAGAGGTCATATTTCATTTTACTTTTGTACATTGTACCATCAAGTGACATAAGGATAAGAATCACAGGGCTTTAAGCATAATTATTATTCTGCTGTACATGGCACTTGGTCATTTCCTTTGCTAGGAAATAATTTTGGTTCATACTACAACAATATCCTTTGTCTTTTAACTATCTTTATATTGCAAACTTAACTTGCAGCAGTAAAAATATTCTGTCCCTTTAGAATTTCTCTTTTCACCATGGAAAAATACTAAGAGTTTCCGATTTCATATATCACTTGTTTGACAAAAGGACACTCTTTACTATTTATTTTTGAGAAATATTTGTCGAAGAGATGCCAAAATTATCTAGATAAACTATAGTCTAATTCGTAAGTCTCTATATTAGTAAGCATTCTCTATACGAACATTCCAAACTTTTACTAATCATAAGCTCAAAGGTGCTTATTGTCATTTTTCTATCCCTCAAGCATACGGATCTTAATAAGTAATATAGTGGACTAATGAGTCCGAAAAGACTACTATCAATAGTTGATTAAATTAGTCCTAACTTCAATTTGATTGAAAATAAAGGGAAGTAGTCTTTTTCTTTTTTGTGATTTTTTATTTTAAATATATTAAAATAGTAAAAGTTGATTTTTTTTTTTTTAAATATGTTGGTGAAAGTGTTCAAATTCATGAGTTCACCATAACTATCTCATTAATCTCAATCACTAGTTTTTACAATAATTAATTATTTATACCCAATCAAATTCTTTTAGTGTATTTAATGCATGTATCTCGAGATCAAATTGACCATGTTTAACTAAGTCAATTTTATATCTTTATGTAAATCCAGATAAACCTTAATTAAATGCCTTAAAGCCCTAAGAATCCTTGTAATGATCGTACTAGCTAGAAAATAATCTCTATACAAGACGGCTTGTAGATGGGTGAATCCTGTTCAGCGTGATTGTAATCCTGTTTTCTGCAGTGTAATAATGATTGGTCATCTAGTTTGTTTTGACTTTTACTTTTAGTGCTTTTGGATTCATTGGTCATTAATTCATGAATTTGTGAGTGATAATTAAGTAGATGGGCGAATTATTTATTTAGACCACGCAGTAAAAGTCGATATAGTTAGTACATTTTTTGCGGTGTGATTACGATTTTGCAAACCACGATCATCCTCAGTTGAGCGTAGTATTTTTTAAAAGAAATATGTCTATATGTAATGTGCAATTTTATTTTCTATAATGCAATGCATTCACACAAACTTAAAAAGTTAAGAGTTAGAAGGATGGATTGCCTCTCATTAGTTCTTGATTTATAGTATTAAACTCAAATTTCGGCAATGTTTTGTATGGTACTTTAAATTATGCTTAGGAGTTATTTTTTAACTCGTTTAGATTGTTTTTGCACCACACTTTGTACGTCTTCCGAGATCTTATTTTGCTTTCCTAAATATGATATGACTTACTCGCATTATCATTTTCTGAAAATATTTCCTACGAGCATGTCACCGTCATCATCTTCTTCTTATATGGATCATCGAAGATAGCTTTCCCCACTTCCCCTAGAGTGGCCAATAACGCAATAACAAACAATTTTTAGTAAAAATCAACACCTCACAATATTCACAAGTTGGTCGCCTCTTATGATAAACAATAAATGTGAAATTCAATCCCCCAAGCAATCCTTATCAAGTGTGTTGATCAGCCGAAAAAGAAAAAGAAAAAAATCAAACAAAAATAAGAAATAATTTAAATTAATATTAAATAAAAATAATCACTAACAATAGCGCCAAAAACTTGTTGTCGATTTTCTATTTCACAATTGTACGGATCGTAATAAGTAATATAGTGGACCAATGATCCCAAATTATCATTCCCAGGAGGACTACTATTTAACAATTGGTTGAATTATTCCTAATTTCAATTTGACTAACAACAAATAGAAGTAGTTATTTTCGTTTTGTTATTTTATAAGTGTTATGATTCACGAGTTCATTATAGTTATCCATTAAATATCAGTTACTAATTTTTATAATAATCGTGCGTACCCGATCGAATTCTTCTAGCGTACTCAATTTATCTCTCTTGTGCTCTAGTTAATTTGAATTAACTAAATCAATTCAATATCTCTATGTGAATCTAGAAAATCTTAGCCTCTAATTGACAACCATTTAAACAAAACTCTTTTTTCTCAAAACTCATTTCCATCCACACATTTCGTAACAAAATATTCTGCATGTAAACCAAAAATAATTTCCTATTTTTTAAACACCCAATCTCCAACAACCACAATTCTAAAACTCGAAAAAAAAAAACTTATTTTAATTAAACGCTCTAAAGCTCTAAGAATCCTAGTAATGGCCGCATTGACTAAAAAATGCATATCTACAATATTATAATAAATTTCAACTTTTTATTATATGGTCTAAACAAATAATTCACCTCTCAACATAATTATTGCTCATAAATAAATGAATTAGGGGCCCATTAATCCAAAACATTAAAAATAAATGCAAAAGCAATTCACAATATCAATTGAAGATTTAAACAATTTTATTAAAATTAAGGTTCAAAATTAGGTTATAATTATTCATCTTAACTAATTACTTAATTACACGTGACGGGAGAAAAAAATACAAGGAATTAAAGTACATCATCGAATTTTAAGGAAAAAGGGAAAAAGAGAAAATCTTGCACTAAGATTCTACCTTCTTCTGTATATCATTGAAACTAGTGGAAATTACATTGGATGTCATAATTTGGGTTGTCATTTACAAAAATGTCACTTTTTAAAGCAACTGCAAAATTGTCAATTCTGGACAGTTTTGCCCCCTCTAATTAATTTGAATCCCTTATATGTCCTTCAATAAATTGGAGATGACTTGACTCCAAATTGTACAAGAACTATGACATGTCAGGTATAATTGGACTCATTGATAGAAATAAAAAAAAATAATGAAAAAAGAAGAAGAAGAAAACCAAACTAGACAATTTGAAATTCACATTCATATCTCTCTCACATTAGGCCCAAACAGTGTGAAACCCTTTCCCCTTTCTCACTCACTGAACCAGAGCTTAGCCAATCGACGACCACTGTGACGAAGGTCGCCGATGAAAAAGACCAAAAGCATTTGGCGAACTCACTCCCATCTCTCTGTCATTTGAATCATAACAGCCCAATATCAAACCAGGGAATCATAACAGCCCAACGGCGAACGCTCGACGACCCTCATCAATGACCCCCTCACCGACAACTTTCATTCTTGAAAACTCACTTTGCTAGATATTTTCTGTGAACCAACTTGGAGTACCCAATTCAGGTATGCTGAACGCTGAATGTTTAAACTAATTTTCGAATAATTGTTCTTGGAAATCCATCCATTTTGTGTTTTGTTCATGCTGAATATTTGATCTAAGTTTTTTGTTGGGAGGGGTTTTGGGAATAAATTTCGTCCAACTGAAATCAGGGGAGAAATTTTTTATCTAAGTTTCTATTGTATTGTGTTTGTGTTTGGCTGAGAATTTATCTTTTAATTTTTCTATGCCTTCCAGGAGCGCTTGCATTAGAAGATTCCAGCCAACTCAGAGAGAAATAGAAGTGTTCCACTCTTACCTTGAAGGCATTGACAAAGACTCTCTTTTGGATCTGGTTCTATCTTCCCTTCCTCAAGACATCTGTAAATATGGGACTGATTCAGTGTCCCAGTTGAATTATAAAGCAAGTTTTGTTTGTGCATATGTTATGAAAGGTCATGAAGCCATGACATTTTCTGTCAACTCTTTACCTTCTCTTAAATCATTCTCATTTTTTTGTCACTGTGCTTCCATTTTCCTGCTATGAGAAAGGATGATCACAAGATATATGGTTTATACATAAATCATGAAATAGCTGATG